TTATAGCATGTTTTGGCAAAGAAATGGCTTAAAGACTATTTAGAGTTTGAGGCCTTTTTTCACAAAGAAAACAGCGGAAAGATTTGACATTCCAGACTGATGGTGTGAGATAAAGGGACCGTGACTAAGATGAGGAGTTTTTACCAACAGTTGCCATGAGACCCTGAGCTTCTGTGCACAAAACTTTCCTCCTATTAGGTTTAGCCCCTTTTGGCTGTCATGTCTTCTTCTAGGACTTTGGGGACACTATACTCTGGGGAGACTAAACAGCAGTGAAAGAGCAGCTGGGGGACACAACGTCTCAGGTCCAGATTACCTCCATTTAAAAGACAAAGGACATTCATTTGAGGACGTTGATGTTTGCATTTTGGACAAAGAAGACAAGCGGTTTGAGACAGGGGTACGGGTAGCTTTGCATGCGCAAATAAATAACCCCCCTCCCTCAACATGTATATGCATGCACTTTGAACCATTCCCAGTAAAAATCAGGCTCATTCACGTCTCCGCCAGGCTGACCACGACTAACGGCCCTCTCCGTGTTGGAATGCTCATCCAAGGTGTGGGTCTGTTCTCACCCAGCCTTCCCTTTGTTCCACCTAACGGTGTTCTAAACCACCTGGATCCCAGAAAACCTTCAACAGCTACATGTGCAACAAGGAAGGAGTTGGAGAGGTTTAGCATTACTTTATAAATATCCATGCTTTTACTTTTATATCACCTGAACATCATTTGTTGCTTTATGACCACAAAAGTGTTTTCCTAAAGATTGCCCCGGGTATGTGTGTACTTGTAGTACTCTGGGAGAAGGTCAGTCATGAGCCAGGCATGTATGGCGTTTGTACAGAGGGAGCAAAACAGGAAAAGCTGTTAAAGCAAAAGGATGTTATTACACACCAAACTGATTTCTACGGCAGCGATTCAAACCAAACACCTTTTTTATTTTGCTAACACACAACTCTGCTAGTTTTTCTCCTTGATCACAATAAAAACCCTAGTGTCAAAAGTTTATAATCACTTGAGGATGTTCTCCATGGAAACACCCATGAAACTGGTCTAAATGGAGAATATGGCAAAAGACCATGACAGCGAGAAATCAGGATATCTTCAAAAATTGCTTTAATAAATTTAAAAAATGCACATTTTTCCTGTAATTCTAATTATGACAGTGAACAGATGGATCTGTGAAGAAAGCGTTTTCAATCAATTTGAGTCTGAGAATAAACTAAAGGCTGACTGATATTATTTTTTTCTATTGCGACACAGATGCCGATATGTAGATGTCACGATGGCCGATATAAGCTGGCGGTTTCTTGGGCCAATTTTCAAGGCCGATATCTTAACATTTTCCACCGTATTTGGATGCTAAAATGTCACAAATTACTCCAGTTGATGCACTACATTTCTGAAGTTGAACCAGTTTTAGAACTCTGAATTTAACCAACTATAAAATTTTAATTTTGTGCACTGCTCAGTGCTAAAAACAATCATCTAACTAAAGTTAATCAGCAATGGCAAAAATCGGCTCGACACATCAGCCGACTGATATATCGGTCCAGCCCTAAACACACAACTGTTTATGCTTCTGAGAAATAAACCCTCTAACATTTAAAGGACCAGCACATTCTATGGAGATGATCCAGGAAACTCTGGATTAAATCTCATCAGATTACCTTCAAAATTTGACAGCTAAATGGATCAAGGTCTGACGGGCTGGAGTGATGGGTTTTTGGTGACAAAATCTAAGGTTTGAAAGAAAATAGAAACATTAACTGTTTTTAAAATAGTCATTTCTAACTCAGGGTTTCCTGTTGATTTGTTTCTATGGAAACAACTTTAACAACCGAACCCAAACTTTAACATTTGAACTTATCTTATTCTAATTATCATGTGTTTGGGTTGCATCATGTGAATCTTCCCTCTTTTTGTTTGTTCACCTTTTCATTCATTCATTCATTCATTCATTCATTCATTCATTCATTCATTCATTCATTCATTCATTCATTCATATGTGGAAAACACTGATAAATCTTGTATTTTAAGCCTCCGAAGACAAATATGACCCTAAAATTAAAATGTAATGTTTGAGAAATCCTACACATAAAATATTGAAACATGCAAATTTACAAAGAAAACGTGAGAACATAAAGCCATCCCAAACGTCTCCGATGTCACTTGCATGCTTTTTTCTGTATCAACTTTGAAGTTGATTTCACATCAAAATGACGTCTTTTTTTTGTGTCTGATTATTTTTGCAGATTTTTTGTCGTCAGAATCTTCCAGCCTGGCTCCTGAGTGGACTGCTGAGTCGTTTTAATCACACAATCACAGTCCTGCATCCTTTCCACATTTTACACCTCTGAAACATCTTGGCGGTCCATCGTTCTTCTATTCATTTTCATATCGGGGGTCATGGGGAGCTGGTGTCCATCTCTGATAGAAAATTAGTCCTTCAGAAGAAGATTTGTGTTTACTCTATCTTCTCGTTTGCCAGATGTGGCCCTGTGAAGCATGTTTTTGAGAGTGTGGGTAAACATCAGGAGCTGGGTGAGGGTCGAGGCCTTCCTTTTCCATTTCCACTGTTTCTGCTTCGTTCCCACTGCACTTTACATTCCTGAACAAGTAACTCACCAGTGCCTGCGTCAGCCTCCCAACGCTCAGGCGCACGTATGCAAGCTGTGACCACAAGGCATTTCTGTTTCAGAAACAATCAGTTTGTCTTGATCAGCTGATAGGTTTCCCCTTTAACTAAAACTCCAGCAGGTCTGAGTCCAGCTTGAAAAACACGACCCCAAGGCCTTCTGGGTATTTCTGTGGCGTTATTAATGGCTTGTCTGAGCATCTCTTGATGCTCAGGGTAAAGTCAACATCCATCGAGGGTCATTCATTAATCTACTGGTACTCGTACTGGGCAGACGTTTGGGACAAGCTGCCTGAATCAGCCCACATCACTAAACATAAATCTGGAAGAGGAATCTGCTTCTTCGTCTCTTACCTTCTTTCTTGTCTTCCATGACTTTTTTCCTCTTTTCTCAATCAACATTAGTCATCTGCATTAACCAGCAGGGTTGTCCATCACAGTCCCAGTTCCTGTTTGGTCAAGCAAAAACACAGAAAGTATGCACAAATCAAAGAAGCGTTGAACACTTAAAAAAAGTCGTCGGCAAACAGAGTGAAAGAAATCTAAGAATTGCTGCTGCTGACTTGAGATTATTGAATTACTAAATATCCTGTTGTCATTTCTGATTTTATTTTCCGTGACTGCAGGTGTTAAAAAGCTGAAAACATTCAAATACATTAATCTCATGATTTTTAATAGCAGCTTTTGTTCAAGCTTTTCCTGGGAAAACACATCGTTCCAGTAACTTGGAATTTGGCAAGTGTAAAGAAGTGGATTTTATTCATTTTTGGCGAGCAGTTTTGTTTACTTAAGAAACTGAGACTGAGACTATAGCTTGGCAGCAGAAAAAGTGTCAAAATAATTTAGTATTTTGAAAGTGATGGTAGGGTTTCATTAATAAGATCATAAACCGTGACGAAATAATACGTTTCCCCTATAATAAAAAAAAGCATCTTTGTTCGTGATCAACCTGAGTGATTATGACCTCTTCTTTGGATCTTACAACATCGTGGCTTACAGACGACAGCTTCTTCCAAAAAGTACATACCGGTAGCCTTAGCCTAGTGAACTAGACCAAATTCTAAAGAATACATTTATTTAGTCTGGCTTGCCAGGCTAGCCTGGCAAGCCAGACTAAATAAATGTATTCTTTGCAAAGCAAGCACTAGGCTAAAAAGTACATAGAAGGAGAAAATCTCAGAGTGATATCTCCTCCCCTCTTGTCTGCTGGCTCCAACGACAGAGGTCAGACCTATCTCACACTCCAAGGGACCCAGAGGCCCTTTATTTGAACATGAACACTCACTGACTCATCAAATCACAGATAAAAAATGGGTTGAAATTCCCTGGCCCATCTGTCTGAGTCAAGTAACGCTGAAAAAACAAGACGAAAACATTTCTGATGTGAATCTAAAAAAAAAATAAAGGTAGTTATTGCTGATATTTACTTTTTATTTATTTATTTATTTATTTACTTTTTGTTAGAAACTCACAGTGAGGTTTAGAGACTAGGTTGTGAAAACATTTTTTAACATGAAGCTGATTGTAAAATTGATGTTTTTTTCTGTTTGTGTCCAATTAAAGGAACGTTTCCTGGACTGGTAGAGCAAAGGATCCAAGTTCTTCCAGGGTGGTGGTCCCCCCTATCTGGCCACACTCCTGAACAGACATTCCCCATCACGCGCTCTGCGCTCCTCTGACCAAGGCCTGCTCGCTGTCCCTCGGTCTAGGTGTCGTACCCGTGGGGACCGGGCTTTCTCTGTCCTAGCACCGTCACTCTGGAACCAGTTGCCACCCTCAGTCAGGCTGTCCCCTTCTCTGCCAGTCTTTAAGAATCACCTAAAAACACACCTCCTCCGCTTGGCGTTTCCAGAACATGTTTGATTATGGCCCTCTATTATGTTGAATCCATTCCAGTTTTCATTGGTACACTCAATCCATCCACTCAATCCAATTGTGTTTCACACATTTGTATTTTACCGGAATGTTTCATCTATTTTGTTATTTCCATTTTGTATTTTGTAATTTGTATTTTGTAATTTGAATTTCTTTTATTGTTGATTTATTCAGTATAATTACTTACAACTGTACCATGTTCAGCGCTTTGGGCTTCCTGACAGGGTTCGGGAAGGCGCTTTATAAATAAAGCTTTGATTGATTGATTGATTGATTGAAGTATACGTTGAGACAAATAAGTCCAGACGGGACACAGTGGGACAAACATGTTATCTGTGCTTTATTAGGAAATCCAAACATTAACGTGACACGTTTTTCTCCAACCAGTCAGTGTGTGCTGCTGCTCGCTCTCCCCCGAGTCACAATGAATGAGAATAAAGTTTGAGATCCCGCCTCAGCGGGCGGGAGGAGCAGTGGGAGGTGTAGTCAGGACTGAGTGGTCAGTCAGTGTTCACAAAGGACTGGAAGAGGCACTCTGGATATTTGGAGGACTAATCTAAACTTTGCTTTTTATACGTGGACAAAAAACAAAATACGAACTTTTCTTTGTAGGTATCTCTCTCTTTATTGTTCCCATTGAACCTCTGAGGATTTCTTTGGTTTGCTGGACCAGAAGATCTAGAGAATCCTGGGATTTCTGTATCCAAAAGGTATGGATGTGTTTACCATAACTGAAAACAACAGAAGCTTTCATTTCAGTTAACACAGTTAGTCCTGCTAGATTTTGTTTTGCACATTCAAACACGTTTCAGGTTCAAAACTTTAACATCAGTCAGACTTACACCAGGTTTGCTTCAGAAAAAAAGGGATGAAAACCAATCAGGCATTTTTTAAATGATTGAATAAAGCTGGATCTCTAGTAGTTTAGTAGTTAGTGTTAATTGTCATAATTGAATAAACACAAGTTTTGTCATTAATGAATTTTGAAATTTTTAGATTGTTTTGAGTTAGTTTCTGAATTAGTTTTGAATTTTAAAACAGCTCTTGAAGACAGTAGGTTTTCAGAATCATCATTTGCTCTTCAATTAATTAATTAGGTCTGATTGTCCTTCAAATCCAGACGAACTTACTTTGTAAACCTTCTGTTATGGTTAGCTCCATGGGAGGAGGATGGCTGCAGTGACTCCAGGCTGAGCGGCTTCTGTTTCCAGTGCTGTGACGCCCCCTGCTGCACGGCCGAGAAAGGCCAGCTTGTGTCAGCCGGGCAGCATGAGCAACAAATTGGAGGATGAGATGAATGAAGTCATTGTCAGGCACTACAACCACTCAGGAAAGTGGGACCGCCCTCGCAGCGACGACACCTGCCAGAAGGCCGTGCTGCTCTTCATCTGCGTGCTGATAGTTCTGGAGAACATCACCGTTCTGCTCACCCTGTGGAGGAACAAGCGTTTCCACAGCCGCATGTACTTTCTCATAGGGAACCTGGCCCTGTCGGACCTCCTGGCCGGCGTGGCCTATGTAGTCAACATCTTCACCTCGGGACGTAACACCTTCTTCTTGACGCCGTCGCAGTGGCTGGCCAGAGAAGGCAGCATGTTTGTGGCCCTCAGCGCCTCCACCTTCAGCCTCCTCGCCATTGGCATTGAGAGACACATGACGATGGTCCGCCTGCGTCCCTGTGAGACAGCCGGTCGAGGACGACTTCTGGCTCTCCTGGTGGCCTGCTGGTTTGTGTCCGTGCTCCTCAGCTCCCTGCCCAGTCTCGGCTGGAACTGCCTGAAAAATCTCAATTCCTGCTCCACGGTGCTGCCTCTCTACGCTAAGAGTTACATCGCTTTCTGCATCAGCGTCTTCAGCGCACTGCTGGTGGCTGTCATCATCCTCTACATCAGGATCTATCGCCTGGTGACCTCAAGCAGCCGCAGGGTGAGCAGCCGGCCCTCGGAGCGCTCTCTGGACCTGCTCCAGACTGTAGTTATAGTGCTTGGATTATTTGTCACGTGCTGGGCCCCTCTGTTCGTCCTGTTCCTGCTGGATGTCGGTTGCAGCCCCGATAAGTGCCCGATACTCTACCAGGTGGAGTGGTTCATTGCCTTGGCTGTGCTCAACTCGGCCCTCAACCCTCTGATTTACACATTAAGAAGCAGGGAGATGAGAGCTGCTTTCTTCCGGTTACTGTGCTGCTCTCAAAGCAGTATGGAGCCCACTAGGACACCCACAGTGGGGCACCCCCACCTGGGCACCAACATCCCTACAGCAGAAAACAGCAAGACCAGTTTGGGTGGAGGTGGAGGAAGTGGTGCTGGAAAGTCCACGCTGAGCAGAGGGAAACCTCCCTCAGCTGTAAATGACAGCAAACACGCAGGTCCCTCTGCCACGGCCGTGCCTCACCCCTCTGGGCCTGCAGACCTTCTCTCGGCTGTGCTGGGGAAGGCGGGGGCGCTGCCGTCCCTCGGCAAGTTCTGAAGGGAAGCGCCTAAAAAAAGTCACAGAGAGCTAGACACTAAACAGACACTGTCCTGCTATCAGCCACTTTTCGTTTGTGCTGCAAGAACAACGAACTGTAAAATAACCAAGATAATCCAGATTTAGTCAAAATCACCTGAAGCCACTACCCGCCTTTAGCATTAACACTAATTTAAACACCACGCACAACAACCTATATGTTTGTTCCACACAAGACACCAGCTTTTCACACAGCTTGTTAAACATGCTGACGATGCTTTAAACGACACCAGAGTGTGATTACACATCTTCAGTATTATGTGTATTTACATATTTGTTTACTGATTGATTATAGGAATATATCATCACATTGTGGCACTTTTAGCATGCGTATTTGAAGGCGTTCTTAGAATACTTGCACATCACAATTAGATTGGACAGACTTTTTGTTTTCGGTGACAAAAAAATCTAGCAGCCTTGAAGCTGGTAACGTTTTGCTTTATGTGCATTAATAAACATTATGGTACTGGGATTTTAAATATTACAGTTTTTTTCGATTGCTAAAACGCGTTTTTCAAAACTGTACGTTTCTTTCAAAACTGCACACACACAAAACCCCAAACATAACACACCAATTCCTAAACCGTGGCTTCCCTTTGCAACAAAACCCTGCCACCACATATCGTAACATGTTCCCAAAATGGAACACGTGTTCTCATTTGGTAAACACAGCCACATTTTCACATGACACACACATACCATTCATTGCTTAAACACAAGTAGCCTTTGGGTGAACACTACCAAGCATGGAAAGAACACTGAAGAGCAAAACTGAGAACACAAGTGTCAAAAGGGAACACAGTGAATTATACACTGAATATATGACAGTGCTCACTTTTCTCTGAGACAAACATCAGACATCACACAAATTTTGAGACAACACATTTTATTTTTACGGTTATAGGGTATAAAATGGAAAACCGTGGGTGGTCCTGAAACCACTCATACACCTGGGTAGCCTTGTGGAAACTTACTTTTATGCTGCAGTCCCTGATTGCAAACTGCTCGCCAGACCCGAAAGTTTAGAGATTTGAATATTTGTGTGTTGTTGATTGAAGCTTTGAGAATTTATGTGGAAAGTGTGTGTAAACGTGAAAATTGTGTGTTGTGTTTTGACAGCAAGGTAATGTGAAATTGACATCAGAGTGTAAAGGAGGAAAATCAGAGTTCTAATATGATAAGGAAATCTTAAGTAGTGATAAACTGAGCCAAGCGATTGGGAACAGAAGTAGAGGTTGTGAAAATTGTGCCTCATTTTTGCTTTTTGAGTTTTAGCAATCGAAATAAACTGTAATAGACATGTACTGTGAGAGGGGAATGTGTAATCTGAGACTAGTGGCCTAGTGAGGTCATGATGTTTATTACACACCAGAAAACAAAAGTGCTGATTATAAAGTCCCTGTTAGTAATCTATTCTCATTAATAATGGGGAAGAACTAACACTACATGAGAATTGTGTTTTATTTTTTATATCTGGGTTTAACCTCTGCGTGATGCTCAGTCTGTGAGGCTAAAGGATCACAGCCGATAACAACACTCACCGGCACGCGTAGCAACCACTCTAATGTCAACTGACCACTAGCGAATAAGAATGTTGGAGGAATTATTTAATGGTGGGAGACTGTAAAGGACTTTTATGTCATGGGTGATGTGGTGCAGCTTTAGAGCAAATAAAAAGTGTAGTGTACTCAATCAAGTTTTTGAAATGTGTTATTTCTTCCTGTTACCTCTTCTTGACTCGTTTTAATTTACTTTTCTTTGTGGAGGTGAGGACTGCCTATTTCAAAATCCTTGTGAAAGCTTAAGATTAGTGTGCATTTGTGCAAAAGTCATTAATGTCATCTGACCCATGGTAGATTGCTGAACAGTCTCTGTTCAAAGGAATAGCATTTGCATTCTACAAGACTGATGAGCTAACGGCTAGTTAGCTTTGCTTAGCCGAAAACGGCCGAGATTTTTAAAGTTTTAGAGGGTTTTATGTGAATGTTATTTTATAAACCTTTAAACTGCTGTTATTTGTTTATTCTGGTAGAATTACAAACTCATTTACTGCCAATTTTAAATCAGACCGCTCGCTACCATTGATGACTAAAGTCGTCAATTGCATTTTTTTACAGGGCGGGCATCGGAACGAGCCCCAGCACCGTGAGAATTAACACCACGTCTCTAAAGCTGATCTTCATCCACGTACGTCACACGCCACGTGATCAGGAAGGAGAAAACCCATAAATTAGGAGATTGTTGTGGGCTGCTGCTGTAAAAAAAAAAAAAGCGAGGCTTGAACCGGAAAACCTTCTGCAGCTCACAATTCAACAACGGATTATGACAGAATGGATAATGCTAGAAGCACGTCGATTCTTCCTGATGTAAGAAGTGGGTCTACTCTTTGTTTTTGTAGTTTTGGCGTTGACGTGATCCTAGAGCGCAGTGATGTGACTCTTCTAAACACAGTAAAAATACTGGCAGTCAGGAGCTTTTCTGATGTGGAAACAGCTGGCAGATAATGAGTTAAAGGTGAGGTTCACTCAGTAACTGTTCTACTTGTTGTGAAACTGTTGGTCACTCTTGAGTTTCACATTCAGGCTGAACGTGAACAGAGTCTTTTACCTCGAATTCCTGCATTAGCCATTGAAAAAAGATAGATGTGGAAATGGTTGGACCACTCAGATCTACTTCCTACTAAATAATTAGCATTCTTGGACTCACCCATTTTGGGAAGGCTGTGTTGACTTAGAAGGGAGCAGAGCACATCTCGCCCTCTCGCCAAGTAGAAACTACCCATTACCATTAGCAACTCCACAACGTGGCAAAATACGTTCAGACATTTGTTATAAGTGGCAATTAAACATCAATGTTGCATTTTTTTGCTGTGTGGGCATCGGAACGAGCCCCCGCACCGTGAGAACAAACATCTCAGCTCTAAAGCTGATCTTCATCCGCACACATCACATGTCACGTGATCAGGAAGCAGAAAATCCATGTGTTAGGAGATCGTTTTGGGCCGCTGCTGTAAAAAAAGTGAGGCGCGAACCGGAAAAGCTTCTGCCGATCACAATTCGACAACGGATTATGAAAGAACGGATAATGCTCGAAGAGCGCTGATTCTTTCTGATGTAAGAGGTGAGTCTCCGCTTTGCTTTGGTTGTTTTGGTAGTTTTGGCATTGACATCCTCCTAGCGCGTAACTTTCTGTGACTCTTCGAAAAACAGTAAAAACGCTGACAGCAAAGGACATTTCTGATCAGGAAACGGTTGTCAGTGAATGAGTTAAAAAACAAGTGAATGAGAATTTTAAAAAGACTAGCATCTACTGCATAGGAGGTGCTACATCTCGATGCAGGTCATTCTGATGATTGTGAATAACCAGAAAATGTTATGTAATTGACCATATAATGAAAAACTGACAGCAGTGAAATTGTTCGTGTTGCTTCAACTGCCATGAAATTTTAGACATTGAAACTGTTTTAAGATGGTGGTGCACCAGGATTAACATGCAAGAGAACCAAGTATTATGGTGGACTAAAATATGACGGTGGGGTCACTAGAGTTGAATAAACTTTCATACCTGCCCAAATGATCCAGATTATTCAATAAAACAAACTCTAGTGGATCAAACACCTCTGGTGTTAAAGTGTTTTATATCAGTCCTGATAGAAATAAACCCTATTTCTCTAAACTGAGGCTGTTTGGGAAGATAACCACAGCAAGTAATAAAGGATTTATTCATAACATTTACACAGAAAGACACTTCAATATGGCTGGTAAATCCCTTTAAGTTATACATCAAACACATCTATTAATGTGGAAATAATTTCCCTGACTGGTTTAATAATGGCAGAAAATACTGAGTTAATTAGCTGAATGTCTTTGTAAAACAACTTAATGCAAAAGTGACTGATGTTCTGTTCGGGTTCACCGTTCATCAGCAGATGAAGGTCAGACACGGATGAATAATGCAGAGAATTTCCTGATATTGTTACCAGCTGCTTCCAGTCAGTCATTTCACTTATCAATTAGTCATGAAACATAATCAGATTGACGGTGCAAAAAATACATTTCGTTTAAAGGTAGAAGGAACATCCAGACATGTTTAGCTTGTCCCTTTTCTTTTAGGGAAACAAACAAATGCATTGAAGGTTAGTTTAAACTGAACTGATAGAAGGGCTGATTGCAGCAGCTCTTCATACGACGTTTCACAGCAACGACCAGACAGAAGCTGACAGACTGACATTTCATACTCACCTCCACTAAAGGATGTCTTCGCTCTGCACCTCCAGCGCTGATGGAAGACAACAGCCAGGGTGAAACACCAGCAGAGCATTTCCAGCTTAAAGGTCAACTTTTTCCTGTCAGAAATGTTTGAACGCTCGTTCCTGAATTAGTCGGGGAGGGTGGTGGACTGAAACCACACAGAATCTAAAAATGCTAACACCTTGGGCAAAAAATAAATAAACTATGATAAGAAGACAGAGGTCTGCTTTACTGTACTCAGTCCTTTCTTTTATTCTCCAAATTTAAATGTTTATGTGATATTAAATAAAATTTTCTCATCTGAAAACAGCTTTGTAACAATTTTTTTTTTACTTTGAACTATTATTTCTTGCATTTAGAAAATGTCAAATATTCAAATGACACTCATGAAGGATTGTAGTGTAAAGATGATGATTTTCCTTAATTTGAAACATTACAGAGTTTCTGATGATCCTGGTTCATCGCTGGTGTGTAAACATGCTTAAAGGCCACCTTGTTAGTAGCAGGTTGGCCCCCTTTTGCCTCACAAGGACTGCCTTTGCTCCTCATGTCAAAGATTCAACAAGAGGTTAGAAACGTTCCCCGGAAGTTCTGATCTGATCCTAAGCCAGATTTGCTGCTGATTTGTCAGCTGAACATTGATGATATGAATCTCCCGTCTCACCCTGTATTATGTGTCTATGGTTTCATCACGTTCAAACGGTTCAGGACTGGATTGAGGTCTAGTGACTGGGGAGGTTGTTTGAGTCCGGTGGAACTCATCATAAAGAAACCAGTTATTAAAGTAGATTAAAAAATAAGCTGCAACACTTTAACCAGTCTCTGTATTTATACAGATAGGCACCTGTAGATGGTGCTATTTTACAGACACAGACTATTTTAAAAGGATGCCAAGTTTAGTGATCTAGTTTGTCAATCTTCACTAGTATCCTAACAAAATCACGTTTTTTAGCTTTTCTCCTAGTTTGCTTTTTAAAATCACGCAGCACGAATGTCCTGATGAAAATGAACATTTATACTCAAAATGTTGATTTTGTTTGAGGACAGATGTATACTTCTTGCACATTTCACAATACAAGTTTAGTAAAAAAACACTTAGAAAACACAACTCTATTTTTGGCTTATGCTTAGGATGATGTAATATCCAAATCATGTGAGAATAGACACCTTTTCAATTCAATTCAAAAATACTTTATTAATCCCAGAGGGAAATTATTGCTGTAGTAGCTCAGAATAATAATAATAATCAAGTCATCAAAGAGTTATTGTATATTACAATGGCTGTTGGCAGGAAGGATCTCCAGTAGCGGTCAGTGTTGCAGCGAAACTGAAGAAGCCTCTGACTGAAGACACTCTCCCGTTGTCGGACAGTCTTGTGAAGAGAATGCTCAGGGTTGTCCATCATTTTCTTGATTCTCTGGAGAATCCTTCTTTGCATTATCTCCTCCAGTTTTAGTGAATTTTACATCCAATTATCTGCAAACCGCTTTTATAGACAGAAGGTGTGTCCGAGCCCAGCACAGAAGCGTTCTGGCTACCCACAGAAGTACGGCCAACTGTCTCCCACTGAATGGGACAAACATGTAGCCCCCACCCATCCTGACAGAAATGAGTCTGTAAATATTGAGACATGGGAGGTCACGCAGCCAAGCGGGACTCCTCTTCTCAGGGTCTGAGGACTACCTGATGTTGCAGATCCCTCCTCACCGAGGGAGGAACGGGCAAGATGTAACACTTGTGGTGGGTCGGGCGAACCTTGAGACGTCTGAGCAAACGTTGAATCATCATCATGCTCATCAGTCTAATGACTGTCAATGCCGTCACAGAGGGACGTGTGCGCATGTGCCTGAGCTTCCAAAATACCGGAATGTGACAAGTGCTCTTTCATGATCCCGGAGTTCAGTTCCACTCCCAAGAATCACCTGAGAAGGTGTCACCAAACTTTCCTCCCCGTTTATGGAAAACTTGAACCTGAAGTTTGGCCAGCGTGCGCAAGTCTGCATTGGACTTGGAGCAGGTCATAAGCAGGAGATCATCTAGAAAGAGGATTCTCATGGCCTTGGTGCATATTGGTGAACTGTCAAGTAGGTCCACGGATGTGAAGTTTGTGGTACCCTGCGCGGGAGCACGAGGACGTGCTTGTGGAAAGAGGGGGGAAGATGTGGCAGTGTGAGCGTCCTGTGACAGTGTCCCGATTGATCATGCGCCCCGGCTACTCGGCCAAGGGATTGTCCCTTTGGCTGATTGGTTGGCGCACATGACTCTCACCCGAGAGTCTGGGGATCGAATCCCACCCGGGCCCTCATTTCTCCACCTTGCCACACACGCTCATGAGCGACGGGGTGCGCAGCCGCGACCCAAAAGTTCAAAATGGCGGCGTAGTGAAGTGTGCATTCCCACAGCGCAGCTTAAACCATGGGGTGGGAGCGAGGTAGGCGGAGC